CACCATCGCCACAAACATTTGAACAATCATTATACACTTATTGAGAGTCGCAATAGAGCAGTCAGTATAGCGACTGGATAAGATATGGGCGACCAAAGGATCGGAGTTCAAGTCCAGGTGGGGGGCAGGAATTTTAACTTCTGTATATCGTCCTGGCCTGCTCTGGGGCCCACCCAGACTCATATCCAGTGGGCTCTTTCTCCGGGGGTAAAGCGGCCAAAGCGTGAAGCTGACCACTCACCTCCAACTAGTCTCGTTATAAAGAAAACATGGACCTATACATCCACTCCCCATACATCTCAATGGCGTTGTGCTTAAGTATTTAAGCACACGGACAATTTAAACTTACCTTACTTTCTGCACGTATTAACTTCATTCTTTCAAGTTTCATCTAACAAATTCGAGAATTTTAAGAAAAGTCTGTATTATCACTTCTCAGAAATTTTCGTTAAAGGACGCGGAACAAAATTACATGGATACGTGACATAAGAACATCCGAAAGAAGCCTCAATAATGACGGGACATACTCGTTCGTCATTTGTCAGCCTCGTTAATACCACAGGGACACAGGCCTAGGAAGAAGAACGGCTGTTGACTGTGGACAGAGGGAATTGGGTGCAGCGAAAAATATGCAAGAAAGAGACAGAAGACATAGGAGTGTAGTCTGTTAGGAAGAATTATATCTGGCCATTTCCTGCAGGGAGGCAGAGAAACTGTCATATTTGGTCCGGATGCTTAAGGGAAGTGATGATGATTATGAAGATAGAAGGAAACAGAAGGCAGAAACTGGAAGAGATAAAAAAAAGATACAGAAGAGCAATAGCAGGGAGAGGTGTAGAGGGTTGAAGCAAATAAAAACACAACGTGGAGTAATTTGAAGAGACAGGAAAAAGATAAATATAAAAAATAATGGAATGGTATTACCATTACTGCGAAAGATGATAGAAATAATAGTGGTGTATGGTCTTTGGGACGGTGGAACTGGGGAGTGGAACTGAAAAGGGAAATATCTCTTGTACCACGTACAATTCATTCTTTGTGAATCCACGCCACCATATTGCAAGATGCTGACTAACTTGCATTGTAAAATGGCTTTCAGGATAGTTATCAGTGCCAGAAATTTTTGGACGAACACATGATATTGAATTGAGAGACTATACAAGTCTACAATGCATACTACATAACACAGCAATTCTCATTTTTCAAAATATTTATATTAGTGTAAATTTATATTTGTGCCGGTCATGGTAGCCGAGCGGTCTAAGGCATGTACTGTCTTCGTTCGCTCGGAAGCCGGGATCGTGGGTTCGGATCTGTTTCCTGTGAGGTACGAACTGAATTCTTATATATTATTCTTATACACTGCCGGTCACAGTAGCCGAGCGGTCTAAGGCATGCACTGTCTTCGCTCGCTCGGAAACCGGGATCGTGGGTTAGGATCCCACTCAGGACATGGATGTTTAGTTTGTGTGTGTGGGTTTTTCTGTGTTTGTGTGCAGGTAGAGACCTTGCGACGAGATGATGACCCGCCCAAGGAGTCGTAACGAATGCGTAAGATCTAGAAAACCCGAAGTGAACAGAGAAGTTCATGGAGGTAGGCCTAGGCCCACTGGGGCTGTAGTGCCAAGGAAAAAAAATTATTGTGTATGGACGATTTTAACCATGATATCAAAGCTCCATTGATCTTTCGGAAATTTGAAACAGAGGTAAAAGTGTAAAAGTTTCATAGATATGTTCAAAACCCACTGCTATAACTCTGATCACACTGGTTTCCGTGATTAATTATCGTTTTAAAGTTTAAAACTACATTGAGTACCCTAGCATGCATCCATTTTTAACAACTGAATTACCATTTTGTTGGTGCTTATGTTTCGGTGTTTTCAAAGAAGTTAATTAAAGATAACTAAAAACAAGTTAGGAAAAGCACTGCTTTATTTACATACACTGTTCTCAATTTTTTTTTTTTTTGAGAATACGCTACTAGGGGGTCGAACACGTATAAGTTTGACAAGAACTGACTGGGACAAATTTACTTCCGGTCTACCTCCATAAAGAGATGTTTCACTGTAACTGAACGCGACACATCAGCGTCTGGTTCATATACATAAAGAGAGAGAGAGAGAAGGTACAGGTAAATTTGTCCCTGTGCTTAATTAATTAGGCACTACACCATGAAGACGTATGGGAGAGTGGATATGTAAATCCAGGGTTTTCTTGACCTCGACAATAGTTGGAGGTGAGTGCTAACATTCACGTCCCAGCCGCTTCGCGCTCCGACCGCTTTACCCCCGGGAAAAAGCCCCCGGTACTTACGGTATTAGAGAGGAGGCTGGGTGTACCCTAGAGCCGGTCTGGACGACATGAATAAATGCAAATTCTTGCCCCCACCAGAACTCGAACTCCGATCCCTTGGTCGTCCAGCCCGTAGCCAGTCACTATACTGACTGAGTTATTCTGGCTCTTGCAGAGAAAGCGGTGTGACTATATTTGTTTCTGGTCTATATCCATAAAGAGAAAGAGGTTGGGACACATCTGCTTCTGGAACATGACCACGAACAGACATTTAACCTTTCAAAATTGGCAAACTACCTTCACGAACCTGATTAGCTCATGACGGCTTTTTCAGTTTTTTTTTTCCAATTCATTTCTCGCTGATCATGCTGGTGTTGAATGCAATATGTTATCAGCTACTGAAAACATGAATAAATACTTGTACAAAAACGTAAGGTTAATCTTCATATGAGGGTTGCTCGAAATAAAAATACAAATTTACATCAAATTTGCGAGATTATTTTCTTAAAATACACTTTAAAGTAATTCTCGTTTTCATGAGATTTTAAATAAAAAAAAAATGTATATGTTGCCTGCTTCTTAATCAAAAAGCGTGATATTATAAAGTTCCTCTTTCTTAATTCTATCTTCTCCAATGTCAGTTGACATATTTTGGATTTATATAGCCTATTTAGCATTTTGATATAAAACATGATTATTATTTGTTCCCCTTTTAGAGTGAGAGAACATGCAGCAGAAGTAGGTAAAATTATAAAAAAAAAAAAAACGTAACATATTCAATTTATGTAAGATTTGAGGCTTTCACGGCGGTGACTATGAAGAAAGCAGAACCCTCCCACACTACTGCTTTCACTTGTATACTTGCCCTTCCCCCCTACCCTCTCTCCTCTCACATAGCTGTGTATATTTCCACACAGTCTGCTTTTACCGATTCTCACGGTCTCTTCGCTTGCAGATTTCTTATATTTTTTCTTCTACCCTGAAGATGGAGGCGATACGTTCCTCCGAAACGTCGGTTAACACCACATATACACGGTGCCAAATCCCAGAAGACTGCATTCTTCATATTCAATTTAGTTTCATGCTATTGACGAATTGAAACAGCATGTCTCCTCGACAGACCATCCGTGACTGTACCTTCTTTGCGATATTCAACTCTTGAAAAAGCAGACGAGCATCAGCAGAAACTTTCTTCTCGACACAAAATGGCGTCTCTCCAGGCTGTATAATAATGTTATAATGTAACGTATACCATTATCCTTTACCTCCTTTATACAGTGGCCAGAGCCTACTTATGCAGTGGAGTCGTCTTCTGCTTCCATAAGGTTCTTTCGTAGCTTCATTTTTTTTTATTCTGGTAGAAGCTGCAGTTCATTGACGAAAGTCATCAGTATCCATAAGTAATAAGTTTGCACGGCAGGAACGAGAGTGGTGGGGTGAGTTAGGGGTGGAATGGTAGCTTCTCGAGTGAAGTATGTTTTCTATAAAAGCTGAAGAAGAGACGAGTTGGGGGGTGGGGTGATAGCATGATTTTCTTGGGTCACTGTATATAATTTCGATGAAAAGATGTGGTTACGAATCGTGGTAGGAAGTTTGTGATGCCCCAAAACGGATTTTCCTGAAGCTGTACTGACCACTCCCTGTTTTATCCGTCGTCAATTGCATTGATGGGGAGATCTTGTGACAAGCAGCAAGCCCAAACTACTGAAGTAAACTTGAACAATATTTATGTATCTATAGTGTAACTAATTCTATGGAGCAGAATTAATAGTGGGAAACTAAAAGTCCTTAAGCTGGTCAAGTTTCAGGATAGCCTGTCCCTGGTCCCTGTGCTGAGCCAGATGAATCCAGTCCGCATCACAATATGTTCCTTTAAAATCAATTTTAATATTATCCTCCAACGTATGTCTAGGTCTATAGAGTGATTTCTTTCTTCAGGTGTTCTGATTATAATTTTGGACGCATTCATTATCTATCCAATGCGTGCTACAAGCCCCGCCATTCTAACCCTCTTCTGCTTCATCATCATAAGAGCATTTGATAAAATTTACGAATTATTAAGCTCAATATGCAATCTTATGCGCCTTCGTGGTATTTCCTTCCTCAAAATATTCTTCCCAGCTTCCAGTTCTAAGCCACACTCATAGCACTTTCTTCTTTTGGGGTAGGAAACCACGTTTTACAAAGGGTAAAATGTTATTAAACCCCCTTTCAAATCCGAAGCTGGAAAACTACCCCTTACAAACTACCCGTGACTGTTTATTCAATACAATTGTAGATACACCCTTATCGAGACTTTAACTCCACCATTTTTAATCTGAGGACGTGACATATTATGGCGTCATTTTGAATAAAACGATTAAAAATACTATTTCCGTTATAACATTCTAAAGAAATTTACAAATAAGTTGTTAACCTATTTATTTTAAGCTTTTAGGAAGAAGACACAAACACCCATTAAACGAAAACATATAAATATTAAATTGATTACTTAAAATATATATTTTCCTCGAAATGAAACCCCTGTCTTTTTGCTCCAGAAATTGTCAGAAAACATCAACCATCATTTAGAGCGAGGAGGTAGGGGTGGTTTGGAGGGAGTAGGATCAGAGAAATTATGTACGGTTGGCAAAAACAGCGGAAGGAGTGCGCAGACGCAGTGGGCTATTGTACTATGGGATCTGTAGCTCAGTGAAAGCCAACTATACCTGAGAGGGCTCAGCAAGAAGCCGCTTCTGAGCATTTCGCTCCGTACTTGCGTGTCCAGTATCTCGCAACCTGCAACCAAAGAGAATTAACAAATGTACGTTTTGTTTTACTAACATCAAAGAGAAGATTTCTTCTTGAGAAGAAAACATTTGTCCAGAAAGTTAACAAATTGCACAGATTTCATGAAAACCAAAGTCAGCTTCCGGTGGCCAAGTGCAATTCTGTCCAATTGTCCAACTTGCAGGTCTCAGCTCCTCATTGATGTCTTTTTTCATTCATGTAAGAATCTTCTTCGTCTTCCTTTTCATCTTCTTCCATGGGTATCCAATTCTCTATTTTTGGTAGTAAGTTATCATTAATAGATAAGAAAAGTAAGATAAGTATATTTTTAGTGGTTATAATAAGGACGATCATAATAATAATTAAATTCAATTAAATTCTTTAATAATAATAATAATAATAATAATAATAATAATAATACGCCTATTTCGAAATAAAGTACTTGCTTCAATGTTTCTGTGTGGGTTAGTTAGTTACTGGAGAGGGTGCGTTTCCCCATGAACTGAGACCTGTATTGGTGCATTGTGCTTCCCTCTATGATTTCTACCAGTCTCTATATCCTACCGGTACTGGTGCTTACCATCAGTCCCGCCCAGCCAGCGAGACCGGCTCTACTAGCTGAGAGGTATCTATAATGCTTCCCCCATCTACCAGAGGCATTAGAGACTGCTGTTGGGCGAGAAACGTCCGAAATTTGGCTCAGTGACCTCCTTTGGAGATATGAGGTTCTTTTACGTGCCGTAAAGCTACGACACGGGACCCACGGCTTAAAGTCCCTCCCGGAGGACTTCTTCCCTGAATTTTTCCGCCCTTAAAAATTCGACGACCTCCGCCGGGTATTTGAACCCGCGTACTACGTGTCATGAGGTGGGAACGTTACCTCTAGACTACGGAGGCCGCTTATCTGTGCTGGTTACCTTAGATACGAATTTTAGAGCTATTATGAATTAAGAAGCGGGGAGATGTTCATAAATGAGACGCATAATGGTTGGGTACTCTGATCTCTTCTGACTTCACGAAATAAGGAAAACTGCGCGTGACTTAGTCAGGTGCCCAGCGGAGACAAATACTAGTCAAACCCGTTACATCCATCGCATTCTTTGTCTCTGGCACAAATATCATCTCATGTTGAGATGATCTTTTGCAATCCCGAAGATGTTTCCCAAATCGGCTGCATGTGATCCGTGTTAATCGCAAATTAATATAACAGTTTCAAATACTGTCACGTGTAGGGGGTGTTTGTGATTTACAGATGGAATATTGATTAGTGTGTGAATTTATTGACCACTTTTATACACCTATCGAAGCTACAAACAATATAGTACCATCGCTGATCTACAAATTTTACAACTCACTGTTACGCACATACTAGGTTTCTCAGTTTTCATTAGTCGTATTCTGGCAACGGATTTCAACACAGTAATTATACCAGTCTCACTGTAACTTGCAGTACACATGAAGTATTCTTTGTGCAACCTAATTCCTTTCTTTCAATTTCTTCTTAGCCATCTTTGACTGCCACCTCAAGAGGCTACCTCAATTCTATCTCTCATCTACCTAAAATCCTCTTTATATAGTCTCGGGACGACCCCCACAGAAAACACAGCTCCCCTACTGTTGCGTGAATTCGTCTCCTCGGAAGTGTTCGTTCAATTGTTCCACAGTAACGGCTGTACGCATCACATCTCATATAGTGAAAATTCCTCCATTGTTGCATGCGACCCTTACCTGGCTCCACAATTCTTGCATTGAGCAAATACGCCACAATGCGTTTAAGATAGACTTGTTTCTGAGACTTATGAGAGAAATATTTGAATACGACTAGTAGAAATCACACTGAAGGGCTCCATTGCTACAAGCCCACTGTGGCTTTCATTTATAACAGCCTCGGAGTAACAGAATATTGCGCCTTTCTGTATGGCTGTATGGTATAGAAAATACGATAACTATATTTTCATGATATTTCCTTCAGTTTGTCCTACGTTTTATTGCAGATATATAAGTGTACGTTTCTCTACTGTGAAAATGCCCAAGGATTTATAAACTGTTTATATATAACAAGAGTGGAAGAAAGAAAGTTAGAAAATATTGCCAGCAGAAGATAAAGCAGCAGAGTAGAGCACAGGAAATATATAGAACATAAAATGAAATATTCATATTCGTTATTATTTTATTTACTTTTGACCAAACTTTCTTGTCTCCCTCATGATGTTCGTAGACACAGAGCAGGGTCACTATGAACACGAGATAGTCATCTCTACATTATCCATTCTTGGAGCTACAGAAGTGTAGAAGTTTATTACGTAATTAACTTCATCTGCTTTGTGGTTCTACGGAAGATTCTATCAGTAAAAACAGATGAATCATGCTACACCCGTTTTGTGAGGGATATTGTCCATTCCCTCAGGTGCGTACGATATAGGGCTTATGGGTTTTTTGAGAGTTATTTCTACTCCCATCTTCTGGTAATTTTTGCATTAAGAGAGGCAGTTTTTCTTCTTATGAAAGAAGTAAACTTCGAAGTTGGGTACAAAGTAATCGGTATTCGACCCACGGATCTGCTAAATACGGACATACAGTACATTTTGAATACTGTATGACAGCTGTGATATAAAGCCCGCAGAAAGCTGATACGCTTTTGGAATCTGGAAGTCTAGAATGTCTCTCTCTCTCAATGTTATTGAGATTATGAAACTCTTCTGCAGTTTTAAAAATCCTAACATGTAGCAGTGGGCGTTGTGACAGATAAAACAAGTGAAATGTTACTTGCGCTGCGTTACAACTGTAGAGACATATATTTATTACGAAGAAAAAAAATCTCCCCGCCTCCCTGCACAAAAAGAAAAATATTTTGTCTGTTTTTAGTCGACTGGCGAAATAATCAGGAGAAATGTACTGAATAGCCACTTCGGTGGAATGGGGAATTCTTTAGAGAAGTAGGTCTGAACTGAAATGTTTTTCGTCACTGGCAAAAGCACGTATCACAAAACCAAGATCTCATACGAAAAATTCTGTATTTAAGCATTTTATTTTGTGCTCAGTTCTTCCGCTCCTCTGCATGCAATACTTTTAACAATGTTCCAGGACTGTGTGATTATGGAAGTCCTCATTATGCAATTTTCTAAAGCCTCCTGTCATTTCTTCAGTCTTAGAACCAAATATTATTCTCAGTAACTTGTTCTCAAGAACTCTCAGTGCCTTAGTATGCGAGATAATTGTATCCACACAAAGTTATAGGTAGAATTATAGTTCTTTTTTGGTATACCATAGCCCTTATGATTTTAGATTAAAAATGGAAAAAGAGAATATTTAATTAAACTCCACCTACACAGAATAACAGAGACAGAATTGAATGATTGATTTATACTATAGTAGAGGATAGGTGTACTGTCTTCGCTCGCTCGGAAGCCGGGATCGTGGTTTCGGATTTGTTTCCTGTGAGGTACGAACTGAATTCTTATATATTATTCTTATACACTGCCGGTCACGGTAGCCGAGCGGTCTAAGGCATGCACTGTCTTCGCTAGCTCGGACACCGGGATCGTGAAAAACCGAAGTGAACGGAGAAGTTCATGGAGGTAGGTCTAGGCCCACTGGGGCTGTAGTGACAAGGAAAGAAAAAACGAGAGGACAGGTGTGGGCAATTATTTTAGCTGAAGACCATATCGTCAGATCGGTTAAGCTTTGCAGACCACTTACATCCATCGACGTAAAGCTGAAAACATTCAATTCAGGTCACCCACTTTTATATTCAGGAATTTAAGAGTACATAATTATTATGAATTCAGAAGGGTTTAACTGAAGAAAACGAAATAGATTCCCAAAGTTTTATATCTTTTATTATCATTTTAAAATTACAACTTATTAAATTACAAATTATTTTAATACTATAGAGTAAAAAGTAAATGTATCCTTGTTACGGGCCGTGAAGGTCCATAGGGTTGTGAGACGTTGAGGTTCCCACATTTTCTAGACAGTCGGCTCACAGATGGCGGAAAGGTTGTCAGCCTTACGCGTCGGCCGTCCTTTGCCCCCCAAAATATTCCTGATACTCATTTCTGTTAGAGGCTGAGTAGACCCTAGGATCACAGTGCGGCTGGAAGGATTAGGTAAATTGAAAAAATAATCCAATGACCTCATCGGGATTTGATCCCGCGATCTCCCGGCTTGTAGCATAGTGCCTCAAACAACTACGCAACCGCGTGCCTCCATTTTAATACTATTGTACACAAAAACACGTTTATAAAATATTTCATTACAAATTTAACATGTTTCCAAGGGCAGTTTTCAAAGTATTGCGGGGTAAGAACGACTACCTCCTGCCGGCTTCACCCAATCCGAATATAGTATTTTTGTTGATGTTTATTAAGCAGAAAAAGAATACCTTCTTCCTCACAGAATTCATTACCCAGCGCCGAAAGGTCAGTCAGTGGACTCGACACTGATCTATCCCAGTTTAGTCCACTTCTATGTCTCTTTCACTTTTAGAACTCATCCACGGCCGCGCCATGGCTCAAGCGGTTAGTCGCTGGCTTCCCACCGCGGAGGCCCTGTTTCGATCCAGGGTCTGGTCAAGTGGGATTTGTGGTGGACAAAGTGGCGCTGAGGCAGGTTTTTTCCGAGTACTACAGTTTCCCCTGCCAATCTTCATTCCACCAATTGCTCCACAATCACCCTCACCTATCATCTGGGGCTGGTACAATAGGCCAGAAGTGGCCGCAGTACAAGGGACTTAGTCCCACCCCACTAGCAATAAAAAAAAAAATACAACACATCCACGATGAGGTCTGCCATATGACTGTCTTACTATGTGGTTATATATCTACGTGTAATATGCAGTTCGTATTTTCTGTTTTCTCCGTGAATGCTAATCGTGTAGCCCATCTTATATTAGCTGATTTAATCAGAGAAACGATGCAATTTTTTCAGCTTCGCGCAAACTTCTGTATTTTTCTAGGCTCACTCTTTGTTCGAAACAAGACGGCTCGCAGAAGCAAGTCTATGGTGAG